CCTGGCTGCAATCAACCCTGCCGAGCTACAAACCAGGGGTTGCCACTCTTCTCCATCCTGCTTCACATCTGATGTCGGAACTGGATTAAGCTAGCCAAACAAGGGGCTTGGTGGTACACACCATAATTCCAGCCCTTGGGGAGTGGAAGGGGGAGGATTACTGCAAGTTCCAAGACAGCTTGGACTACATGGAGCTGTAGAGCAGAGTAGGCAGGGCAACATAGTGAGCACTTATGTCAAAGTAAAAAAAAAGAGGGGCTGGAGAAATGGCACAACACTTAAGAGCACTGGCTGTTCTTGCAGAGGACCAGGGTTCCGTAACTCCAGTTCCAGGGTATCCCACACCCTCTTCTGGCCTTCCTGGGCACTGCACACAAGTGGTGTACTTACATACATGCAGGCTAAACACTCATCCACATAAAATAAAAATAAACTTAAAAATGTTTAAAGAACTGGGTGAATCTGGAGTTTCAGTATTTTTTAAAATATTTTATTTATTATTTTTATTTTATGTGCATGAGTGTATTGCCTGCATGTAGGTAAGTGTACCTATGTCATGCAATGCCCATGGAGAACAGAAGATGCTGACAGATCCCCTGGAACTGGAGTTACAGACAGTTGTTAGCTGCTATGTGGGTGCTGGGAGTTGAACCTGGGTCTTCTGCAAGAACAGTCAGTGCTCTTAACCGCTGAGCCATCTCTCCAGTCCCAGAGTTCTAGTATTTATTCCTAGTGTGTCTGCCTGCTCACCACCATTTCACTGCCAAAACCTCACCTCCAAGGACTCCATTGCCTCACTGAGGTTAGCACCTGCAGCCTCCTCCTTTGTCTCCCACTGTGCACCACCATTTTGCAATCTACTCTTTACACCATGCCAGTCACCTTCTTAAACCCCTAAACTCCCTCCAGGAAAGAAATTACAGTCCTACAGAGAAAGCTCCAACTCCTCAGCTTTCAGATAGCTCTCTGAGGTGTGACACTAGCCAATGTCAGAGACAAGCAAATTCAAATGATCCAGTGCTATGACTTGGTGCTACTTCTTGAGCCCCCCCACCCCAAGTCTCATAGCCAGCTTCCAGGGCCCATTCATGGGCAACAACTCAGCATTAAGACCTTGATCCACAAGGGGTCCCTTCTCATTCTTCCTAATGCCTTGTGCATACGTCCACAACAGCACTTGGCATAATAACTACATTTTAAGTTTTAGTTTTGCTGTCTCTTTGTCCTACCCTGAAAAATGCTTATAAAGTGAACCATCAAAGGGGAGAGGGAGCTGGGCGAGATGGTGCATGCCTTTAATCCCAGCCCTCAGGAGGCAGAGGCAGGTGGATCTCTGTGAGTTCAAGGCCAGCCTGGTCTACATAGTGCGTTCTAGTATAGCTACAGGGAGACCCTGTCTCAAAAAGACAAAAAAAAAAAGAGGGGGGGAATACTGAGGAAGATATTTGCATAAGAGTCTGTCTATGCATATCAAACAAGGAAGGTCAATGCCAGCAGGATATTTATAAATATGCTGTGATGAGTTTTTGGCCAGTTGTTAAACAATGAACTATAACAAAGGGGACTGTGGAATCAGGAGCCTGAGTTTCAACTCTAGCTGTGTACTTCTAAACACTTGCCACTTGAGACAACTTACTTAACCCAAATCTCAGCTTCCTCACCTATAAAACACATAACACAGGTCCTACTTCACAGCATTACTTTACCAAATCAATCAGGCAATGGTTGCACCACGCCTGGCAAAGTGCAGGTTTCTTGGTCTTCTTTCTCTTCCAGAACACTGCTGATCTGTAATACCAGCACTTGGGAGGCTGAGGCAGGAGGATCACAAGTCTAAGGTCAAATCTGGACTATATAGCCACACCCTGTCTCAAAAAACCAGAGGCAATGTTTTAAAAAAATTCAAGGTCACACATAACAGCATTTGTGAAGAACACCACACTGGCCTAAAACCTTGACCACACCCTGAATCCCAGCCATCTTACAGAAGTGGGTCATAAAGAGAAGAAAAAAGAGAAAAGAAGAGGGGAGAGCACAAATCACTTCAATGCAATCTCATCACCACTACTGAAAGGCAGTTTTAAATGCCTGGCCTACTGTACAGCATCTCCTGCGTATACGAAAACAACACATGAGCAGGCTATAGATGAATAGGATGTAAGTAATGGTGCCTTGGAATGCAGGTTCTTGAAGAGGCTGAACTTAGTCACAGCTCTGCTCTAGAGCAAAGAACTCTTTATAATGCACTAGGTAAACAACAAACAGCAATGAAGGTAAAGAAGAAAAAAGTAAAAGAATTCAAGGTGACCTAAGAAAGAGGGACCTAGCCTGGTTATACCAGTCTTTACTTTTCAAACATTTCCATTTTGTTAAATATGAAACTCTGACTTAGTCCAATGTCTTCACTGATTGTGACAGATCACTATGGCTGTTTTAATTCTGAAATGAATTCTTGAATTGTCAATAATATAAGTTATTGTGGTTTTGGAGGGTTTTAGGGGTTTTTTTTGGGTTTTTTTTTTTTTTTTTTTTTTTTTTTTTTTGTCTTTTTGAGACAGGGTCTCCCTGTATCCCCAGCTGGCCTGGAACTCCCTCTGTAGACCAGGCTAGCCTTGAACTCCTTGAACTCAGAAATCTACCTGCCTTTGCCTCCAGGGTGCTGGGATTAAAGCCTTGTGATGCAGGGCTGGAGGGTTTTTTGTTTGTTTGTTTGATGTTTTATTTCTTGGATACTGGGTCTCCCTGTAGCTCCAGCAGGCCTGAACTCACAGAGATCCCCTGCCTCTATCCAGGCTGGCCTGGATCTCAATTGCTGGGATTAAAGGTATATGATGGCATGTATTATTGTTACTTTTTAAAATCAATTCTATCACCTACCATATCTGTGATACATCTCTACCAACAGAGTTCATAGTGCAAAGGTGAAAAGCTTTGGGAATATCTCTGTTGAGAAGTGCACACCTAACCCCAGAATTAAAGAAACTGGATTAAAAACATTTGGGGGCGGGGCTTTTTTTTGAGTCAGGGTCTCCCTATAGTCCCAGCTGGCCTGGAACTCAATATATAGACCAGGCTGGTCTTGAACTTACAGAGATCCTCCGGCCTCTGCCTCCCAAGTGCTGGGATTAAAAGCGTGCACCACCACGCCCAGCTGGCCAACTAATTTGCTGAAGGTAACTTCAAACTAATTCTTTATTAGTCAATTTAATTTTTCATATACCTTTTAATAGTCTGTTAACCTTGAAAAACATTGTCTCTTTTTTACATGTGTTCATTGTATAGTCACTAAAAGTTACACTTTAAATAGATATGCTTCAGATTATACAGTATCTTTTATCAATCTATATAGTTTATCAATTTATATATTTCATTGGTTTAAAAAGACTTTATTAATCCCAGCACTTGGGAGGCAGAGGCAGGCGGATCTTTGAGAGTTCGAGGCTAGCCTGGTCTACATAGTGAGTTCCAGAACAGCTGGGGCTAGAGGGAGATCCTGTCTCAAAAAGACAAAAAACAAAAAAGACAAATATCTACACACACACACACAAATCAAATATGCAAAGGCCTTTAAACCAAGAAATATTTAGAGATCACAAGAAAAATAAAGGTTGTGTCTCATTTAAAAGAAAAATGGTGGGGAATACTTTTAAAAGTCACATAAAATGAATGTTTCTAAGGAGATCCCTTGGAATTTCCTGAAACTGCTCAGCATTTTTCTGGTTTAAGATTACATTCCTGGTGTATTTGAGGAAAACCAAATCAGTAACACAAAATGAGCAATCCTGACTTTCCAAACAACAAAAGTATCACAATCCAAAAAATTGTTTCTTTTTCTACCTGACCCTTCACCCACAACTTGCCTGCAGAAGTCTAGCTGCTAAGAAAACACACAAGGAGACTGGAGCCAAAGTGGAACAAGGGCTTTTCACAGTACAACCAACCTGAAGATGGATGACTATTTTCATAATACTGCAGACGAAGTTTATACAAACCAGTGGAAGAAATAGAGGTAGGATGAAGAGGCCCCAGGCAGCAGGGGTCTTGAAAAGGATGCTCCCAATTGGTAAAAAAGGCAGGGGGAAAAAACAACTGAATTACAGGAAATTCCTTGTGCCTTAACTGCCACTGCTTTTTACAACACTCTTATTAAACAATTCTTACAGCATCAAGAAGGGGATCTGCATGGGTCCTTCCAGACATGAAACCCAGAGAGTTTACAAAGTCTTTTGCTTCCATTTATTTCCTGTTCAGTCTCTGCCACAGCAAAACACAAGTTTGAAAGGGGGGAGGGGTGAAATGAAAACGAAGAATACCACAGGTCATTAGTGTTCTCTTAAATTACAATTTAACTGGAAGCCTTTAGACTGTTAAGAATATACAAATTTTGTTAAACATCAAGGAATCTCTTAGCTACCTCTCAAACACAAAGGTACCTTCAGTCGACTTACACAATGAAATGGCCACGCATATCTGGCTGGGATTTAAAATATTTCCTTTTAAAACGGTCTCGAAACATTATGATTTTATCCAAAATTGTTCCTTAAATTCCTGAAGACACACAATTTGCCATGATCAAAATCCTTCCCCTCTTTCTTCAGTACCCTTAAGAAAAGACTGAACACCTTCAAGATGCTCTCCTTGTCTTCAACCGTAAGGAATGCTCGAAAAGCAAGCGGACTTCCGAATGAAGGAAGAGACAATAAAATCAGGGACCCTCTTCTGGAGTCTTGCACGCTCTATCCCTGGAGAAATTGGGGGACTGAGTAAACACACTGAAAACGAAGCCAAAAGTGCAGCATTCTTACGGCACCACCAACCTGATGTTGGACGACTGCTCCCATCATATTCCTTTATTCCTGGAAAATGTCATTCCCGTTGCTTCCCCCATGCCAAAAGTCCGGCCACACCAGCGCAAAACCGTCCCTATCCAAAGAGCCAAAGAGTTGCCAACTACCCCTTCCAAGGCGCCCCCCCGCCCGCACCCCCCCACACCGCCTCACCTCGTCAGCGCTCAGCTCCTCCATCTCTTTCCTCTTAATGGTGAAAGGCGTAGGGAGAAATCCTTCAGTTCTGGAGACCAGGCGGGAGCCAGGAGCGTGGACGGCGTCTACCGGGCGGTCTGACCCCCCCAACGGGGGAGGTTTCAGAATTGCATAGTCAGAGGTTAAAAACTAAGAACACGAGGCACTGAGTCTCCCTGGCTGCGGTCGCTGCAAGGGCCCCGGCCCTGCCCCGTCTCTCGCGCCCCAGCAGCTGCTCCCCCGGCGGCCGCCCGGTCCTCGCAGGCGCCACCGACGGCCCTCGGCTTCCCCGGCGGCCCAGAGCAATCGGCGCGGCGTGCAGCCCGGCTCGTGCCCCAGCGCGCCGTGCCTTCGTGGCGGTGACGCAGCGGCGGCGCTCCAATCCCGGGTCCCACCCCTCGGGCCCTGGCGGGAACCGCGGGACTGCAGAATGGATGCCCCGGAGCAGGCGAGCCCACAGCCGCCCCGCAGTGTGCGGCGCGCTGCCGGCTGAGCGCAGGCCGGGCACGGACCTCCTCCACGCAGGACGCCGGGCCGGGGGCCGCGGAGGGGTGGGACGAGCCGAGGTCCGGCTGGAAGCGTGAATCCTGCTCCTCCGAGCTCCTCGTACCCCCTCACTCCATCAAGTATTATTCATCAAAACAACAGGGCTGCCATCTTGAAGAGGGGTCACGTGACCCGCTCGACGGAGGCGGGGCTTGCGGCTCCGGACGCGGCAGCCAATAGGCCGCTGGCGTCGCGCCGAAGATTTCCTCTCGCCGGCGGGCTGTCTCCGCCCCTCCC